ACCCAGCTGGAGAACTGCAGAGTGGACACCTCGTTTGCTCACCCGAGTTGTCTCCGTAAGGGGGAGGGGAGGTAAAAGGAAAGAAGGAAATCTGATTAATCTCTCACTTCCCCCTGCCCAATGATTTTTTTTTCTTTCTTTCCACAAGGGAAGGAAAAATTATTTCGTGCCCAACCTCAAGGCTGGAATGGGGACACCTGGGTTGTGTTCACCACTCCCCCAACACCTCCCCGCCCCAGGCCACAGCACTGCTTTTCTAGGTGACCTTGGGAGGGTTAGTGTCCTTCGGTTTGGTTTTCCCAGATGTGAGAGGTAAAATCATGTCCTCTGCACCAGGGGAGGCAAAGCTTGGACACACACACACGCACACACGCACACACACACACACACACACCTCACAACAAATAGAGGGATCCTTCTAAAGGGGAGGTGCCGCTAAGAGGCAGAATGTTATTATTAGAGGACACAATATAGACATCAGCTTTTCTCTGCCTTTTTCTGATGCTGCCAGACAGTCTGTCAACTCCCACTCAGGAGCAAGGAAACTCCCTGAGTTTGGAATATTTTAAGGCCATTTTGAAAGTCACGCTGGCATATCGTTGCAGTGTGTTTCAGTGACATACAAAATCAATCTCTCGCTTTCTGCCCCTCTCCATCTCCTAATTGCCACAGCTATAGACAGCCCCAGACAGCAGTGGTTCAGTTCACTACATAACTGGATATAATTTAATGGAGTTAATTGGTCCCTGCAGCTGCCTGTAGAAGACTTTTTATATTCTAGCTCAAAAAGAGATAATACCAAAATGTACAAATAGGATAAGTAAGAAAGCTTCCAAATTGGAGTTCCTGCACATCTAATAAAATGAAATAAAAATATTTATTTGTTATTAAATAGAGCTTGATTACTTTGTTTTGTCATTTTGGTTTTCCGAGAGTCTGTTTTCTTAACAGCACAAAGGTAAATCAAACTGAAATGGAATGCATGATTTTGCTAAACAGTGACATTTTTATATGATTACATTTCAAAACAGATTTAGTAAGATACTTGAAAACAATGAAATAGGGAACTGAAACCTATATAATCTGTATATAATTTAGACAAATTTCTAGGTTATACATTTTGACAAAATAAATGAGTTCATATGAGAACACTTTGGATATGCCAGGAGGCAAATCATGTTCTCTTTAAAAATAATAATAATAATAATAATAATAACAACAGTTAACTTATGTGAAATCCTATAGGGACACTTGTATTTACTGAGCTTCTGCTGCATTGTGGTCACTAATGAGGTTAACATTAACCTGAAGGTTGGAGTAGTTAACAGTGTAGCTTGAGGAACCTAAAACAGTTCTTTATATTGTTTCATCGTGGGACCCTTTAATGTTTTTGAGCAGAGAACTGACACGTACTAACTAGTGCTCGGAGTAGGAATGATGGTTTGGTGGAGTGACTGAAGGAAGGGAACAAGTTAAGAACAATCTCAGAAGTTCTAGGCTTCAGGTGATAAGGGAAATTACCAAACTTAGACTGTTCTACTTTATTTCTGGCTGATGAAAACTCAGCCTGTTTTAGAGAGCCCAGAAGCACACCCACAATTATGTAGACACTTGATTTATGACTGAGTTGGTATTGCAGAGCAGTGGAGAAAGAATGAGCTTTTCAATAAATGATTCTGGGTCAATTGGCTATTCATATGGAAAAAATGAAATTGGAGCTCTGCCTCACAAAAGGGGAAGAAAAAAGTTCAAGTGAATTAAAGATCTAGATGTAAAAAACAGAACTATAAAGTTGTTAGGAGACCATATAAGGAAGTATCTTTATAGCCTTGAGGTAGGAAAAGATTTCTTTAATAAGGTGACCAAGAGTGCAAGATTGATTAATTTGACTCTATTAAAATTCAGAACACTGATGATTAATCAAAGGATTCCATAAAGAAAATGAAAAGGCAGGCCACGAAATAGTTATTTGTAATCTATACAACTACAAAAGCTTAATATACAGAATATATAAAGGACTCCTTGAAATCAATAAGAAAAAGAAAAACAACTTGTTAGAATAGGAGCAAAAGAATGAAAGTGCGTAGTTCACAGAGGAGGAAACACAAGTGTCCCTATAATGTATGAAAAGATGCTCACACTCAGTATTAAAGGAAATGCAAACTAAAATGATAAGATACCACTTCACACTCACCAGACTGGCAAAAATTAAGCACTCTGAAAATATTAAGAGTAGGTGAAGATGTGAAAGGGGGGGAAATCTTAAAAACACTGCTTACTGGAGAAAGTGTAAATTGGTACAACCACCACTTTAGAAAACAGTTCAGCATTACCCAAATCCATTTGCATGTGGGCTATGTCACAGTGACTCTCAAAGAGGTATACACCTCAAAGAATTTCTTCTATATGTGCACCATGAGAAATATACAGCATTGTTCATAATATACTGAAAGGAATGCAAATGTCTCGCAGCTGTGGGATGGATAAAAAGGCTGTGGTGTGTGCATGCGAGAGAACACTTGCAACAGTGAACATGAATAAACTACGGCCAACAGCAACAGCACACATTTCAAACCTGATGTTGAAGAAACAAGTCAACAAAAAGCGTGATTCCATTGGCATGAAGTTCAAAAACAAAGTAACTAAACAGCAAGTTGTATAAGAAGAGGTACATTGGTAGTAAAAGAAACTATAAAGAAAAATAAGGAGATTATAACACAACCTACAGAATAGTGGTTATCTCTGAGGGGGGTGCAGATGTTCAGGGGGCACCCAAGGGGACTTGTAGAGACGCTGATGCTTGCCCTTTGCACTGGCTTGTGGATACATAGAAATAGATTTCATTCTTTCTCTTTAAGCAATTTTCTTTAAGTATATTCGCTGTGTTTTATACATACACATTTTAAAAACAAAACTCAGCTTTTAATTTTAATCATGATTATCAAACAAATACAAAAGCAGAGAGAATAAAATAATGGCCCTTCCATTCTTAACACCCAGCTTCAACATTTATTCACATGTTGTCATTTGTGTTTCACAAACATGCACACGCAGTTTTAGTTTCCTGGAGTGTTTTAAAGCAAATCCTAAACATAGTATCATTTCACCTGCAACTATTTTAATATCTACCTCTAACAAATGAGAACTATTTAAAAACACAATATCATAATCACATCGAGCAAAATTGACAATAATTTGTTAAGATCAACGAAGACCCACTTCTTGTTCATTTTTCTCTGATTATCTAAAAATCACTCTTTGTAGTTCATTTGTTTAAATCAGGATGAAACAATGTCCACATATTAAATTTGGTTGATATATCTCTTAAGTCTCTTTTAATATATAAAATTTCACCCCCACCCCAACTCACTTTTTAACTTGCTATTTCTTTGCTAAAGAAATCGTCACTTGTCCTATTGAGTTTCCCACATGGCTGATTGCAACCTTGTGGTGGTTAGTTTGAGGGAGTTAATTACATGCAGCTTCTTTTTTTTTTTTTTAATTTTTGAGAGGCAAAGAACACTTCTTAGATGGTACTAAACGCACACAAGTGGTATGATAGGCATCACATCTCATCAGGAGACACATAATGTTTGGTTGTCTCACTTTTATTGATGTTAAGATGGATCAAAAATTCAGGTTGTATCATTCTGACTATTCCATTAAAATTGTCCATGGTTTTAATAGTCATTCATGAGTGTTACCTCAGTCTATCATTTTATTAGAGGTTACAAAATTGTGGGTTTTTTTATAATTTTGTCATTTCTTCTGCACTTATTAGTTGGGTATTGTCTATGTTAAAGAACTTTCCCCCTTCAACTCTTTGGTTAACTTGAAATACAATTAGCACAGGAAGGCAGAATAAATTTCTCCGTTTCCCCATTTTCAGAATAATGAGTTGATGCCTTAGGAATCACCAAAGCTAATCAGTTTTAAGTAGCATCCTGAACTTGTGAATTTTTATACATTTGAATTGTTTTAATCCATCACAATCATTATTCTTATTGATGCTCAAATTGTTCCATCTTCAGCCAATGGGAAATCCTTTGAATTGGCTCCTGTGTCTTTTTTTTTTTTTTTTTTACCAGACCCCAAAAGTCTTTGATAGATTTTTTTGCTTCCTAGCATGATAAGAGTGTCCCAAGTTCTTATGCAGTTCATGCTCAAGCCTGGATCAACTATTTCTCAGAGAAACCTTAGCTTGCTCTTAAAACATTTTTTAAAAAAATAATAACAAATACTTTAAAAAGTGTTCTTCATACTTATCACATTTGGGGGAAGAAGCTCATGAAAGATTCTTAATGAAACTTGTGCTCAGATGACCCCTAAGAGAGCATGAACCATTGAGCAATTTTCTGCAAGAGAAGGCATACGTTTATACTTCCACCAGTGTTTAAGAAGCAGCCTCTATGTGCAGGACCCTGGGGATCCCGTTGAAGCAGCCTCTATGTGCAGGACCCTGGGGATCCCGTTGACTTGGTGTTTGCTTGCACAGAGCTTGCGATCTAGTGAGAGAGACCATGATACATTGTGATAAACTCTGTGA